GCACCACAGGATAAAGGTGACTTTAGCATGCTTGCACTAGAGTTAGGTAGTGCTAGTGAAATATCTCATGCTGTTATTTGATTCATGAAAACTAATAGCCCTGAGAAATTTAATTTAGAAAGTTGAAGATTTTGAGTAATAGATAGATTACTTGACATGTAGGTTATTATTCAATTGAGAGATTTTATATGAAAATATTAAATTAAATGCTACTGGCAGTTGCTAAAGATTGTACTTTTTAATTATTCTATTTTTCATCCAAAGTCTCTTCCTTTTTTATCATTGACATTTTAGGTTGCTGACAGAATATTCCTTTAGCTCAAATGTGTAATATTCTGGATGATAGAGGCACATAGTAGGCACTCAATAAACACTTGTTAAATAAATGACCTTAATTTACCATGTTCAATTTGTAGGTTACTGCTGAAATTATTTTGGCTTCTACTTCAATTTTTCAAGTATGCAAGGGATTTTACTGACTTTCTCAGCTCAGTGTGATTAATGAGATTTCTAAGCATGTTGAAATTGGTGCTATTGAATATCTTGGGTCTGAAACCAGGGAGTTGTTGATTGAGTATGCTTATGTCTCCTCTGACTGAGGCCAGACAGAAAAAATAGGCCCTCTAAACAAGGCTTAAAGTTCTTGATTGAAGATAACTTCAACTGAACATGAAGGCACATAATAATGTGTTTCATGAGTTTAACCAAGTATTTGTTTATGTCCACATTTTAATTTTAAATTAAAGTTTTGGGTCTTCAGTTTTCATAAATAGGCAGATGGATCCAGAATCACAAAATTATTTATGTTTCTGCCATATTTAAGGTCTATTTTTATGATGTGACTTAAAAAATGTATTTGATTATCTCATTTCAGTGATTTTGGTGGGATTTCTGAAGGCTCCATTTTGGTTGTGGAATAACTAGAGCCACAGTCATATTAGAATATATTTTTCATGTCAGTTGTATATGTCATGGCTTTGAAGATATTGCTAATCAGGTCAAATTTTTATTTTTGAGTAAAAGATACCAAACTAATTTGTGTATGTCTTTGATCATGAAGGTGTGAGCTATGACTAGGAAAACTGATGATGAAGGCCTAGGGAAAAGAATCCACATCATACTGCATTAAATCATTATTGTCATATCCGTATGTGAGAGAGACACAGCTATATTATCAGATCTCCTATAGTGTAAATGGTCAGCAGAAACTGGAAAGATTGACATTCTTATTAAAGCAGCTTGCACAAGGTTTATTTGATCATCATTGATACATGTACTTTAAAACAATTTTATAAACACATTGGAGAATGTAGTCACATTCATTCACTTAAAAAACACTGTTTCCTTCACAGCAAGCAGGTAGCATTCTTGTAAGCATACGTAAAGGAGTATCATGCATCTTTTGATGTTTTGAACTTATTTTTTTGTTCCTTGTAGTTGTCTGTTATTCTAAGTTGACCAGATCATTTTTTTCTCCCAACTCTTTTTATTTCTAATTGAAGAAAAATGCTTTACAGTGTTGTGTTGGTTTGTATTGTATGACCACATAATCAGCTCTCAGTATACATATATCCCCTCCCGTGGGAAGGGGATGAGATCATTTTTTAATTCCTGTATTTAAGGTGTTAAATTTTCTCTCTAAATTAGGTGTTGCCTAAAAACTTATGACACCCTCAAATTCTAGCATCAAGTCTGGTGACAATATTCTATAACATTTGTTTTGGGTCTCTCCACAATGTTGCTAGGCTGCTGATTTCTGCCTTTTGCACGAATGTTTCCAGCAGAGTGTGCAAGTTTTTCACAGTGGTAATATCCAAACCATCTACTCCATCCTTAGATTGTTGGCTGAAATAATTTGAGAAATAAAATTGAGATCATTACTGATTATCAGAATCTATTTTTCAATTTTAAAATTAAAACAAATTATTATGGGCAAAAAAGAAAGAAAGAAAGAAAAACCCTGTACTAGGGTAAAACAAGAAAGGTGTAGTTAGAAGCTGAAAAGTGAGAATTTGTAATGCCTGTGATTGACTTTTCTTTCGTGGTTTGCTGCTCCTTCCACGTTACGATTGCTGCAGGCAGCTCACAGCACATAGCTACTGGCTACTCTCTCACTCCAGTCTTCTAAGACTGTCTTACATAATATAATATAGTCAGAGGAGTGACAACCATCACCATTGTTGTATTCTATTGACTAGAAGCAAGTCACAGGTCCCACCTGCGCTCAGGTGGAGTGACTAACAGATTTTAAACCCAGCGTTCTTCTGTGGGTCTGCAAAGCCTTTCCCTGTCTCAGTGGAAATAAAGTTAAGGAAAGTGTTCTCTCATTTATCATTTATTCAGTAAATATAAAACATTTGCAATGTGTGAGTGAGACTTAGAACTGCATAGCAGTGCTGTGGTGGTGAAAGGACAAAGGCAGTCTTTACCCTCAGAGACAGCATGGAATAGCAGGAGGAGCACGGAATTGTGAGTCCTGAGATTCCAGCTCCAGGGTAGTTATGAACTGCTCCATAATTTTGGTAGATGTATATTTCCTGAGACCTTATATCTGAAATTAGTAATTATACCAGCTATAACATTTTATTATTCTACAACTGATTCTTTTAACTTTGACATCTGAAAATTATTTTAAAAGCATGTCAACTTTTAATAATTTGAGTATTGGTTTTCTCTTTGACACTTACGTACCTAAGATGCTGTTTCCCTCTTCTAGCATCTGTATACACACACACACACACACACACACACACACACACACACACACACACACACATACACACGTGCATATTTTGAAGATGTGTAGGGCTTAAGATTAAAGTGTGGCCCTACTCTGTTAATGTGTTCAGATAACAATATAACAGATACAGAAGGCAGCTTGTTTTAAACTTGTAGCTAAACATGACATTCAAATGTTAATTGGATGAATAAATCTTGTTCATTTTACAGACATGGAAATGTCAATGGAATAAAACTATTTATCACAAGGTAATGGTCTCCTGCTGCCAGATAAATGCCAAGATGAACATACTTATTGAAAATGTATCAAAATATTCTATTGCTATTTATTGAAAATAAAGGTTGAGGAAAAGTTCAACTTTTCAGGTCAAACATGAGAAATGCTTTGTCTGTGATATTAGTATATTGCTGTATTAAACACAATGTGCATGGTATAGAAACATGAGAAAACTCTTAAGAAATAATGGTCTATAAATAAATCTTTTAGCTCTAAGCTACGAGAATTACTGGAATGGTGCAGTGGGGGCTAGGAAGAGATACCTAATATATACTGAACTCTTGTTATGTGCCTGACGCAGTCCTGGTGTATTCACTGATGTAAGCCATTCACAAGGATAGAATTTGAGAAGGATTACTATCCTCATTTTCAGGTAAAGTTAAAAGCAAAAGAGTAAATTAACTATACTAATTAGAAAATACCTTGCAGTCACATAGAGAATTAAGTGCCAACACCAGGATTCAAACTCAGCATGGACTTCAGATCTCCTGCTTTTCCCCTACACCCCACACCTGTACTTATGTCTGTAAGTCTGAATGCAATATCTTTTGATTTGGAGGGCTTTTGACTAGATTATTTCTCCAAGTTGTATTGTACCTAGTGACCAAATACTTCTTTGGATCTAATAGGCTGATGAGTTTTCTTTAAATGATATTGTCTACTTGCTTAAAGAAAAGAGCACACCCCTAAAGTCTTGAGGACTTGGTTGACTCTAAATGAGCCAAGTAGCACTAAATTCTGAAGCTTCCCTGGTAGCTCAGATGGTAACGAATCGACCTACAATGCAGGAGACCCTGGTTCAATTCCTGGGTCGGGACGATCCCCTGGAGAAGGGATAGGCTCCAGTATTCTTGGGCTTCCCTGGTGGCTTAGTCTATAAAGAATCTACCCACATTGTGGGAGACCTGGGTCTGATCCCTGGGTTGGGAAGATCCCCTAGAGGAGGGCATGGCAACCCACTCCAGTATTCTGGCCTGGAGAATCCTCATGGACATAGTGGGCTGCAGTCCATAGGGTCACAAAGAGTCAGACATGACTGAGCGACTAAGCATAGCACAGCAATTAATTATAATGTTAAGACCACCTTCTTTTCAGCAGTGTGTGGTTTTATCATAATTCCTTCTTTCTGCTTTCCTTTCTGAACCTAGATGTCTATTTCTCCACTTTATTGTGTCATACTGGTCTTCGTAAGATACAGTATTTGGGTGATTATGAATATAGGTGAATAACTGAAGTTGCTTAAACAAAGAAAAGGAGGATTATTGTTCACTAAAGCTTTTACTGATTTCTTCCTGGCAAGTCCTTCTCAAGTCCCTCCACCCCTAACAGACAGTGGGTGTTAATGCCTCCCTCCTCTGGGCTGTCAGAGAGCTGCAGTTTTCCTCTGGCTATGACCAATCTACCAATCAATACAAAATACTGATTTTAGTATCAATATTTACTGATACATACTTGTCCTAGTTTCCCTAGTCGGGAAACACTCCTTACTAGGAGAAATTATGTGCTTTCCTTCTATTCCTCATGGTACCCAACAGAGTGATTTGGACATTACAGATATTCAGTCAACAGGAGGGTGAAGGAAGCACATGGATGGTCTCAGATTTAAGGATTAGAGGAAGTATTAAGACTTCAGAGGTATCTAGAGTACACCTTTGTGAATATGTGAGTCTGTCTACCTGGTCCTTTACTGATGCTTCTATTTATCAATTTTCTCTAAAACACATTTGGATCTTATTTATTTTGTAAAATTCCTAGAGGTAATAAGTGAGCAGATAATTTTACTGCTAGATGGAGAGAAGTTTGTATTTAAATTTCCCTCTGGACGAAAATAGTAATTCATACAGTACTCTTTTGATACATAAATAGTATGTATACTAAGTAAAGGTTTTTTTTTTAAAGTTATAATATTCTTTCAGTAGTTTTAGATAGACATTAAGCACCCCGTGTCCAATCGATCACTAACTGGCAGTCTTTCCTTTCACAGATGGAAGACCTTTAGCTCTGAAGGACATCTGGGAAGGAGTTCATGAGTGCTATAAGACGCGGTTGCTGCAGGGACCATGGGACACTATTACTCAACAGGTTAGAGAATGTTTTCATTTTTATATGTGATTCCTTCCCTTTGCGCGTCTTTTCTTCTAGTTCTCTCTCCTCTTTTTTTTTTTTCTCCTATTTCATTCCTCTACTTCCTTACAGATTTCACTTCAAATACACTTTCCTTTAAAACATCTTACCAGACCCAGTCTTGGTTTAGCTTCTCTGTATAAGTCCTCATAGCACCCTGTAATTTTCCTTCATAGTACATGTTACAAATTTAAATTATGTATTTGGATTTTTTAAATTAATTTTTTCCATTATACTGTGTGCATTCTTGTGGGCAGACTTTGTTTTTTTCTCTCCATTGTATAACCAGCACCAGCACAGTACTTATCATACACTAGATTTTCAATAAAAATGTATTAAGCGAGAACAGAAACAGAGTTGGCATATACACCAAGAAATGGATGATTTAGTGTGTGTGTCACCTCATAATGCTTCAGAGTTTTACTCATAGGTGCATTTGCAAAAAAAAAAAAAAAATTACTTTTGATGAATAATAGGTTTGCAATAGTGGTCTGAAAAAGTTGCAAAAATAGATCTGCAAAAGTAGATATAAAAAGTATATTTGCAAAAGTAGAGAAAATAGGTTTGTCAATCATGTAAGTCATTATTACTGCCTTGCTAAAATCAGCAACTAATTATTTTAGAAATTAAAAAATATTCATTACCTTGCAACCAATCATGATCTCTTTTTTACTTATATCAAAAATCGTATTTTCTCCCAGCCTCTGTTAAGCTTAATCAAAGCTTCCTTTAAAAATGACTTTATCAGCCATTAGAATTTTTATGTCCTCTTATGTGTTTGATCATAATGACAGTTTACCTCCCAATCAGCTTAAGAATCCTCAGCGTCTCATATGTAGCTCTCTGACAGTGATTGCAAATGACCATTCCTTAGGTTTTAATTGAGGAAAAAAACTAGTTTTAAATACGAGTCACACACCAGCACAACCCCCCTCAAGTTAATCCTTGTTTTCCATTCCTACTGCCACCTTCCTGGTTCGCACCCTGTTGCCTCGCCTGGAACAACTAGTAAAACCGCCTCCCTTTGCTCTCCTGCTCCTTTCCTCCTTGCCCCTTCCCTTTGGCCGTGTTTTCCTAACCATGCAGCACTTGTCTTACCCATGTGTAAGCCTGCAGCAGCTGTCCAAGGGGCTATGGTGTGTGGTCTAAATGCCTTGCCTAGGTTCCAGGGCTGCCCGTCCCCGGGTCTTGCTGCCTTTCCAGCTTATCGCCTCCTCCTCCACACTACACGGTCTCAGCTCCTGCCAAACAGGGCCGTTCCCTTCCCCAAACCCATCCTTACAGTGTGTTCTTGGAGTTCTTTCCAGGTTTAATGCTTTCTCTGTTGCCTTTGTTCTATCTCTGTATTTCCCCCTCATTCTTTCACATGTCCCTTTCTCGGAAACCACTTCAGCTTACAAAAATGGTCCCTTTTAAGTCCCAGTTCTGTAGACCAGAAATCAGTGGTTGCTATGAGAAGGATAATGTAATGAGATATATAAGCAGATCCATCAGAAAGGTTTTTGGCAAGAGCATTTTATTTTATGCAAAGTGTTTTAGGCTAACCTTTAAGTATGTCAAGGTGAGTGCTAAGTGATTTAACTTCCAGTGTCTTGTCAGTGACCACAAACTGTCCAAAAATATAAACTGTAGAGTCAGAATCCACAGTCCCCAGAAAATGCTTGGTTTTGAGAGTCAAGGAAGACGGCAAAGGATAGAGGAAGGGAACATCCAAAAATATATATGTATTTAACTGTAGTGCCTTTTTTGTCTGCTTCTTCTCAATTATATTTTATATTATGCACCTGAGCCCAAATCTTATTTTTTTCCTTTTTCTGTCTCTAGCAGCCCTACCATTAATCTCCTCAGTGCAAACCAAAGCACAATTCTGGATGGTTTGTGTCATTTTGGGTTTTAATTTCACATGTCTCTGTTCTGACTTGTGACATATATATAAGATTTTTGAACTCAACCATATTTTCTTAGTTTCCTAATATGATGTTGCCAAGAGATTTGGTTCCACTGATAGGATTCCTAACTTGCTAACCCAACCACATGACCCAATCTGTATATTGATAGTTTTAAATGGAATTGACTAGTATCTTTTTAAGCATGATACAGACTGCCTGTTAGCAGACCTTCTTTTTCCTTCTTAGCAGAGTATGTTAGTAATGATCAGATCCTATCACAATAAGCAGTACTATCTCAATACCAAGTATGAGGCCCACTTGTTGGGAGGGATATTTGATATACCCAAATGGTAATCTAAGTATAACATTTAGATGTTCCTTTGGAATGTGTCTTATTGGGATTGATCTTGTGGACAGGTATCCCCACTTTTTATGACACACTTTATTTAAGCTTTAGAATTGCTCATCACAGTGTATCTCCAGGCACTGAAGACCTAGCAAGGGAAACTCATTTGTTGCCATTGTACTCACTTGGTGTTGAAACTCATTATGAATATTCACTTTGGAGGTCTTAGTTTTTAATCTCAGTTTAGTTAATGGGTTGCTATTTATGTGTTGTTCTTTGCCTAATATCTTTGAGAGAGTGTGTCCTCATTTTTGTAAGGCCCCATGTGGAGAAAAAATAGGGTTTCCTCAGTGCAGAGAAGGCAATGTCACCCCAGTCCAGTACTCTTGCCTGGAAAATCCCATGGATGGAGGAGCCTGGTGGGCTGCGGTCCATGGGGTCGCGAAGACTCGGACACAACTGAGCGACTTCCCTTTCACTTTTCACTTTCATGCATTGGAGAGGGAAATGGCAACCCACTCCAGTATTCTTGCCTGGAGAATCCCAGNCCCACTCCAGTGTTCTTGCCTGGAGAATCCCAGGGATGGGGTCGCACAGAGTCGGACACGACTGAAGTGACTTAGCAGTAGCAGTGATCAGATAAGTAATTTGTTCTTACTGTCTTCTTTTAACTTTATATCATGGGAAATTATAAACATAATACAAAAGCAGAGATAATACTGTAGCGCAGTGATCCTCAACCTTTTTGGCACCAGGGAAGACAACCACTCACTTGCTGTGCAGATGGTTTCCTAACAGGCCATGTATAGGTACTAGGGGTTTGGGACCCTGGTGTAATACACTTACAAACTAATGACCAATTTTATTTTGGTATCTCACCTGATCTAATTTTTTTGGTACCACATTCTAGGCCTCATATTATGTCATCCGTAATTATTTAATTATGTATTTTTAGAAGATAAGGGCTCTTCACAAATGTTTATAGCAGCTTTATTCATAATAGCCCAAATGGAAACAACTCTGAAGTTCTTCAAGAGGTGCATGGTTAAATAAACAGTGGTGCATCCTTACCCTGGATACTACTCCGGAATTCAAAGGAACCCACTATCGATACACTTAACAACCTGAATGAATTGCCAGAGAATTGTTGAATGCACAAAGTCAATTCCCAAAGGTTACGTAGTATCTGATTCCATTTAGCTAACATTTTTGAGATGAGAATATTATAGGTTGGGGAATAGACTGCAGTTTTCAGAGGTTATGGGTAGGAGGAAAGTGGGTGTGGTTATAAAAGGCAAGGAGGGAATCATGTGGCAATAGGAATGTTCTGTATCTGACTGTATCAATGTTAGTAACATGGTTGTGATAATGTAGGTTAGTTTTGCAAGATATTACCATCAAGGGAACCGAGTAAAGGGTATGAGTGATCTCTTTGTATCATTTCTTACAACTGCATGTGAATCCACATTTATCTCAAAACAAAAAAAGTTAATTAAAAAAAGGAAAAAATCCTAAAAAAAAAAACCACAATTCTATTATCACAGTTAAAGTTGTTAATAATTTCTTAATATCATTAAGTAAGCAAATGTTTGAATGGCATTAGCCTTTATCCAAGGAGGTTTTCCTCTTTCAGAGTGTTTATCTAGGTGCTACACCAGGCAGAGTGGATTTAACTTTGGGCACCACCACTTACTAGCTGTATGACCTTGGGCAAATTACAAAAACTCTTCATGTCTTATTTTTCCATTAAAATTAATGGCAGCATCTACATAGAGTTGCAGGGAAGAGTAAAGAAACGGTTGTATACAAAATTCAACCTATGTCATCTCCTTTCAAATATGTAGTTTCTAACACCTGAACTGTGTGCTTTAGATTTGGAAAACCAGGAATTTTGAAGTACTTTATTTTCTGATTATATATGTCTGGGGAAGGCTGTCCAAGTGCGAATAAATGAATGGGATTGGATGGATAGAAGTGGAAAGAAACTCAATGATTATTTTCCCACGTGATTTCACACAAGTACTGTGAGAGAACTGGACTAGAAGCCTTGAATACACGTTCTGCATGCCCCAATTACCATTAATTTCACTTAGAAGATTTTAGCATGTCTGAAACATGCAAAGGTATGATCATTTTAGTGAATTTTCATTATGTTTCCATGATACATCTCTCAGGGTAAACACACACACACATGCACACAGACAACAAAAAATCTGAAACTGCTTAGGTACCTTTTGGTGAATAGATTGCTTTTGACTCTCAGTGATGCAGGAAGTCACTGGTTAAGGATTCTTAAATAATGAAGCTTGATATGTTGCCTGGTAATTTATTATGATGGCTGATAAACTGATGATTTAATTGTGCTTCCTCTAGTAATAATCTTAAGTGCTCAAGTGAAGTTCCAGTGATTGGCTTTCTTCTGAACTCAGTCTCCCTAGAGTCTTTAGGCATCTCTTTTACACAACATCCGATAACTGACTTTTAACTGTTCTATTTTAAATAATACAAATCAATTAAAACACACAGCTGTTTAACAAAACTTCTCAGTGTTGGTATAGGTCTCGGTGGGTATTTCCTGATGGCTCATAATGACATCAATTTACTGCACCTGGTAGGATCATTGTGAACTGGAAGTGGCTTAATTCTTAAATGACAAGAAAATTAAGAAGCCTTTATGGATTGCTGCTGCTGCTACTTCAGAATCACTGCCAGCTTCATCGCTG